CAGTCATGTGTACAGCCTTCAAGTGTACTTCTTTCTCCCTGCTTGGTCTATGTCCTCATCACCCTGCCACAGTGACTGACAAGGTATCGGTGCCCAGCCCTCGGGCAGCCACTCTAGGCTGGCAAATGGTTCTGAAATGGTCTAGTCCAGTTGCTCTGTACAACAGGGATGTGGTGGTATTTAATCTGCCCAGATTCTCTGTTCTGGGATTTGGGATGTCAGCTGGCAGAAAAGCAAAGTGCAGTGTAGATAGAAAAGGAGAGACACCCAGGGACAAGGAGAAAGCGTTAAACACCATGCTAGGTATGGGAGTGAATATCTGTAATCCCAGCTACTCTAAGGTGGAGGCAGGAAGAGCTTGCTCTGAGGCTAGCTCACATTATGAGTCTTCCTTTTTTTTTTTTTTCTAGTACTAGGGTTTGAACTCAGGGCCTTGAGACAAGTGATCTACTACTTGGAGCCACACCCCCCAGTCCTTTTGCTTTTAGTCTGTTTTTCAGATAGGGTCTCTCGCCTGCTTTGCCTGGGCTGGCCTTGGACTACTCTGCCTCCTAGTAGCTGAGATTACAGGCATGTACCACCTTGCCAGGCCCAGAAGGCTTGACTCTTTTTTTTTTTTAATATGCTCACAACTATTTTATTATAATTTTTTAAGCATACTGGAAGAATTTCCGAGTGAATGCCTGCATATTGACCACCTAGATTTTGCAGTGACCCATTTTGCATTATTTGCTTCATGGTAGACCTGTCCACCAGCCCGTCCCTCCATCCCTGTACCCATTCATCTGGGTTTTCCCCATGCATCTCAAAGTCAGTTGCAGACTCACGTGACATACTGATGCTTTAGCACTTGACACTTAGTCTTTTTCCTTTCTACTCTGGAGGGTTTTTTAACAGTGTTTTTTATATTATTATTGTGCTGGGTGGGGGGGGTACATTGTGACGTTTACATAAGTTCTTATAATATATCAAATATATTGTAGTTGAATTTATACCTTCCATCATTCTCCTTTATCCCCCTTTCCCCCATTCCTGGAATAGTTTCAACAGATCTCATTTTTCCATTTATAAATATGTACACAGTATTTGCACCATATTCACTCTCCCACGCCCTTTCCCCACATCCTCCCCCTTCCCACTGGGACCAACCCCTCAGATATGACTGCTGTTCTCCAATTTTGTAAAAACAAAATGACATTTTTGTTTGTTTAAGATAGCTATACAGGGAGTTTCCTTGTGACATTTCCGTGTATATATGTATGATAACCCTATTTGATTCATCTCTGTTTTTCTCCTTTCTACCTTAGTCCCCTTCTTATGGTGATTTCAACAGGTTTAAAAATTCTATATTCATTCTTGTGTAGGAAATACATCAACCATATTCACCTTCTTAACTTCCTTCTTTTACCCTCCCCCTCTCGTATGTGACCTGCCCTTAGGGTGACCTGTTTTTCATAATATTGCTATATTTGCATTGGGTCTGTATTCCACATGTGAGAGACAACATGTGGCCTTTGGCTTTCTGAGCCTGGCTAACTTCGCTTAAGATGATATTCTCCAGTTCCATCCGTTTACCTGCAAGTAACAAAATTTCATTCTTCTTTATGGCTGCATAAAATTCCATTGTGTATAGATACCACATTTTCTTCATCCATTCGCCAGTGGTGGGGCATCGCGGCTGTCTCCATAGCTTGGCTATTGTGAATAGTGCTGCAATAAACATGGGTGTGCAGGTGCTTTTGTGGTAACCTGACTCCCATTCCTTCGGGTATATCCCTAGGAGTGGTATTGCTGGATCATATGGCAGACCTATTTTTAGTTTTTTAAAAAAGTTTTAACTTGTTTGAAGTCACCTGTTTCCTCTGCTTGCTCAAGCTTGCACAGCTGTGCTGTTGCACAATCAAGAACTCAACGTGTGTGCCCTGTGTGCCCACGCCTTCGCAATCTCACTCTTGAACTTTCTTTCTCTTGCTTCCTTTCTTATCTCATCACTCAGCACAACTTTCCACTTGTGTTCCCTTCTCCCTTTCAGCTCCCCAGCAGATAATTTTGAAACTAAACAACAACTGAACAATGGCCTCACTGTTCTGCATGTCTGGGTATGCATGGCACGTTCCTACTTGCCCAGGACAGAAGGAAAACACAGTTTCTTCTATTTTATTTCTTTGCATTAAAAGTGATTAAATAGGTCTGTGTGACCTTCAGACATCAGACTATTGGCTATTTTGAAAGTCTATTTAATAGAGTAAGTTAGGTCGTATTCCTTTCGGAGAAGAAATCTTCCCCATTAAATGCTATGGTAAATGGAAAGGGAACAATATCTCTTTTGTGGAGCAGAAGAGGGACGCTCCCACTTACAATTGCTGGATTGTTTCAGTTATTACTTGGTCAGTTTGTGCTAGTAACATATTTGCATTGCTATACAAGCATTTTCTTATTTTGGTTAAAGTTGGCTTTTTGAAGGGGATCCTGCTCTTGCAACACAGACTTAGAAGACCCCGTTACCTGGTCCTGGTGCATTTCATTTTATTACCCTGGCCACAAGTGTTTCAATCTTTTTCATAAAAGGCTGTCAGCATTCAGGTAGACTGCAAATAAACTCCAGTTTCTCAGGTACCACAATATTTTTATTTACTAACAGCTATCATAAAGCTTTCTGTAAAAATCCTTGAGGAGCCCTCTCCTTTTTGGTGAGCATCAATTTCACAGCAACCTTATCTAGGATTATGAAGTTGAGTTGGCTATTTCCAAGAAAAAGGGAAAAAAGCAAAAACAGAAAGTAGAAAAAATTTCATAGTCAAATATTACAGGAAGGAAGTGAAGAGAACTTGTCAGAACTATGCTTAGCAATTCCTGCTTTGAAAGGTCTGAATCCTTGAGCTTAAGTCCTGTCTTGCTTTGATGCCTGGGAGTGGAATGGTGAACTCATTCATTCATTCATTTCTTCAGTCATTTACTCACCCACACAGCCCTCATTGATCACCGCCTCCATACAGGTCACTCGATTAAGTGCTGCGAATAGAAAGGAAGCAAAGCTGGGCCCGGTCCTCACACAGTTTGTGATTTGATAAAGGAAAAGGGACACATGGGTCTGCAGTGAGGTTATGGTCTGAGACACTCTGATGGGGGAGCCTCCCCCAAATGGAAGAGGTGGGAACTCCCAAGAAGGCTCCCTGGAGGCATCTTAGGACCTGTGTGGGTTAGCTAACTGGAGAAAAAGAATAGTGGTGAAAACTGTCTCTGTGATAAGCAGTAATTAGCCCAACACAAGCAGACTTAATCAAAAAAGGGAGCACATGTGCTCATGAACCTGATAGGTCCAGGGTCTAGTACAGTGTCCTCAGGAGTCTGCCACTGAGGTGTACCCAACAGTGCTTCCCTTCTTCCTTGCTCAGGGCCCCAAGTTTGTTCTGTCTCATTGTCTTCAGGGGTAACTGGGCTTAACTGATTACATCTGCAACAACTTTACTTCCCAATAAGGTCACATTCTGGAGTAATGGGGGCTAAGACTTTAACACGAATTTGGGGGTGACAATTCAGTGCATATTACCCTACCTGTCCATTTCTTCTCCCTCTCTCTCTCTCTCTCTCTCTCTCTCTCTCTCTCTCACTGATACTTCCCATTGACTGGACCCAAGTAGAGGGTAAGAGAGCCTGGTTGATGAGAACCATAAAACTGACCTCTTGGCACAGAGCAGGGTCACACAGGGTGGGTCTGGAGGGATAAAGACAATTTCTAGAATACTTTTCATGGCCACTCTTGAGAAATGACCCTCTTCAAGTCATGAACGACTTGGGTCTTAGCCCTGCTATCATAGAAGCCCTGCCATCTCCCAGTTCCCACAAAGGTTCTCTGAAAGAAGTTGATGGCTCTCCTGGTGTCACAAGAGGAGATGTGAAATATAAAAGTCAGGATAACCTGGCACTCTAGCTACTGCCTTTCTTAATCCCTACTACTCTGGGACATCTTTTCCTACCTGACTGGCTATTACCTAGGGACTGCATCCAGTGACATGTGACAGAAACTTAAGAGCAGTGTAATAAACCAAATGAAGTTCATTTTTCCTTATACGTCAAGATGAACAGAGTAGGGCATCCCTGAACTGGTGCAGTAGCTTCAGGAAATTACCCAAAGGCTCCCCAATCCTTCTGTACCCCCCCCTCCCTGCCCCACCATCTTTAGCATGTGGCCTTTGACCTCAGGGCTGGGAGGTGCTGCTCCATTGACCTCAGGGCTGGGAGGTGCTGCTCTACCTCTGGCCCTGCATCTAGAAGCAATCATGTTTCTGCTGATAAGGATGAAGTGGAAAATGGGGATTAGGAGTGCAGCTCACAGGGCCAATGCCACCGGTATACTTGGCTTCAACTTTTGGATAAAAAAATTATTTATTTTTCCTTTGGGCTTCTACCTTTGGCGATGGCACCCAGATTTGAAGTGCTTCTGTTCTGCGGACTTGAGTGCATCCAAAGGCAATAAGTACAATTACAGCCATGTGTCACCCAAGGATGTTTTGATCAATGACCCAACAGCTGACTACATATGTGATGGTGGTCCCATAAGTGTAAATCACCTAGTGACATCGCACCTATCTTAGTACACTTTAGTACTAAGTGGTTTCACAATGACAAAAATCACCCAATGACACACTCTCAGAATTATTCCACTGATCCTATCCTTAAGTCATATATGACTGTACTTAGAAAAGAGAATCAGTCTAGACTTAAATAAAAAATCCTTTCCAGATAGTTCCAAAAGCATAAAATAAGTCTCAACTATGTGCACTACCTCTTCTTAGTCCCTACTGTCGGAAACTATGCTTATCCAGAGACCTTCAGAATTCTTTATATTGCTTGGAAACTGTTTATTGATGGGCTTATGGATCTTACAATGTACTTAGGCATGTTTCATCTATGCTTAACCAATGAAACTTTCTTCCTTTGTCCTATTCAGACATATGGGCAAAGTAAGAATATAATTCAATTCTCTCTTCTCTCTTTAGAGGAAAAGGACCAAATTCATTGCCTGTGATTTTCTGACTGAGTGGTTGTACAAGTAAGTTGTTCATGTTTTTGAATATTCAGTGGCCCTGAGGAATCAATTATATTATTTTTGCAAGTAGAAGAGCAACAATTGACTTGAATTCTTGCTTGTTGTCTCCTTGTCAATCAAACACATGCCCGTGTGACCAGCCAGAATCCAAAGAGGACAGGGGAACCCTTCACAGAATTCTTCTCCATTCCTTTTGTGGAGGAGTGGCTGAAACACCAGTAAGTGAGTAATTTACTCCTGATCTTAAGGTTGTGTTAATGATGGTTTTCTCCAGTCCAGGGGGGAGCTAACTGGGTTAATTCTACTTATAGCTCTTGTCTCTGATTATTTTTAACCCAGGCTAAGTTCATCCTAACCATGCAATGATTGAATTCCAAAACCACTTCTGAAACAAAGTAGAAAACAAATTCTTCACAGAAATAATTTGTCTTGAGGCTGGCGGAATGGCTCAAGCCTAGCAAGTATGAGGCCCTGAGTTCAAACCCCAATGTTGCAAAAGCAAAACAACAAAAAACAGAAAAGCAAGTAATTTATTTCTCTTCTCTCTCTCTCTCTCTCTCTTATTGAGACAGGATCTCACTACATTGTCCAGCTCAAGTGATTCTTCTGCCTCAGCCTCCCTTGCTCTCTCTCTCTGAAGGTTATAATGTCTCAGGAAACATGTTTACACTTTTCTGTTAATTTATACACGTCGTCTCCATTTACAATATTACCACGTGTCAAAGTTAAAACTCTGACTACTCTACTCCAGCTCTCCTCGTCTCACAGAGGTAATCAGTTCATGTAGTGCATCCTTCCAGAGCTCTGAAAATGAGTTATTTAACTACACAAAATTCACTTACAGTAAATGCAATTAGTAGGCTTTTTTTTGGTGGGAGCTCTTTTCATCAGTGATGTGATAGTGGCAGTAGCTAGCATGTACCGAGCGCCTAAATCCACTTTTCTCTGCACTTACTATTAATGAACTAATAACGAGGCTATCTTACCAGCCCTGTTTTACAGATCAGGAAATTTATGTATCATTCAGCAGCTTTCTGTTATTGACTCAAATCCATACGTTCAAAGATGTAGCCATGTTGCGTAATGAAATGCACTGACGGGTGTTGAATAATGTGGGTAGGAGGATAGAGAAAGAGTAATAGAGAGTTAGTCTGGTTGAAGTACAATAGATGCAAGTGTGAAATGCCACAGCAAAACCCTGCGAACAATTCGTTTTAAAAATCTAGCCATGCACTATTCACAATAGCCAAGTTATGGAAACAGCCAAGATGCCCCAGCACTGACGAATGGATTAAGAAAATGTGGTATCTATACACAATGGAATTTTATGCAGCCATGAAGAAGAACGAAATGTTATCATTCGCTGGTAAATGGATGGAATTGGAGAACATCATTCTGAGTGAGGTTAGCCTGGCCTAAAAGACCAAAAATCGTATGTTCTCCCTCATATGTGGACATTAGATCAAGGGCAAACACAACAAGGGGATTGGACTATGAGCACATGATAAAAGCTTTAGCACACAAGGGAGGGGTGAGGATAGGTAAGACACCTAAAAAACTAGCTAGCATTTGTTGCCCTTAACGCAGAGAAACTAAAGCAGATACCTTAAAGCAACTGAGGCCAATAGGAAAAGGGGACCAGGAACTAGAGAAAAGGTGAGATCAAAAAGAATTAACCCAGAAGGTAACACCCACGCACAGGAAATCAATGTGAGTCAACTCCCTGTATAGCTATCCTTATCTCAACCAGCAAAAACCCTTGTTCCTTCCTATTATTGCTTATACTCTCTCTACAACAAAATTAGAAATAAGGGCAAAATAGTTTCTGCTGGGTATTGAGTGGGGGGGAGAGGGAGGGGGCGGAGTGTGTGGTAAGGGAGGGGGTGGGGGCAGGGGGGAGAAATGAACCAAGCCTTGTATGCACATATGAATAATAAAAGAAAAAAAATCTATCCATGTTGATTCCAGTACATCTAATATCTAATCCATGTCATTTGATGCCTTTACCACTCCATTCCGTTTCTCTTTGTAGGTTCTTTATTCAGACTAGAAGTATTTATCGAGCACTGCTGTGTGTGGAACATTCTAGACAGTAGAGTTAGAGCAGCGGACAAGGTAGCGCAGGATCCTAGCCTGGATGGGATCTGTCTTCTAGTGAGGGAAGACAGACAGTATGTGGTGTGTACGTGCCATGAGAAGTAAAGCAGGAACAAGAACATGTTGGGTGAGTTTTAGACAGGTGCTCACTTGAGGATGACAGTGAAGCAGCATTCTGTCATTGTAAGCCATAGGTAGAAGGAAACACCGCTCAATTTACAGAAAGTAATGTACGTTTCACCTGATGCCTGGGAAATGTTTCCATGCCTGACCTTTGCAAGAAGAATTGTCAGGAAACTGAGGCACAAGGAAATTAAGTGATGCTTGCCAAGTCACTTTTCTTTTTTTGAGGCAAGGTCTTGCTGTGTGGTCCAACTAACCTCGAACTTTTGATCCTCCTGCCTCTGCCTCCGCCTGCTAGAATTATAGGAGGCACCACCACACCTGGCCTGCCAGGTCCTATTTGAAACAGCGTGGGAGATACTAAGTTAGACTCTTAGCCCTGGTGTCATGTCTTTGACAATGAATAGATGCTTGGCTGCCTTTCTCCATTTTGAGAAAAAAAATAAAACACTCACATATTACCACTTTTTCTTTTTAAATCTGAGATTAAACATTTAAAGAACAGTAATACGGGGAAGACTTGTTTCTTATTTAGTGTCTAAGCCTGTGCCTAGAGCTGGGTGAAGCTCTGTGGTAGAGGATTTACTTAGGAGCATGTGCAAAGCCCCAGGTTTTAACCCCAGCACCCCCAAACAGAAACCGCCTGTACCTAATTTTGTCCACTGTGAAGTGGAAGACCTATCATTCATTAATTTGCATAGATTTTTTCTAAGACAAGGCTTTTTTTTCCAGTATCATTCTCTATGTCACTGTTTTGCCTTGAAAATGAACCAGTTTCCCACTGTACTAATTATTTAAAAGAATCTTAAAAATAAGACAACTTCTCTACACAAGAGTCCTCTCAAATCCCTACACACTTACTACCTAAAAATCACTTACTACCTAGTTTAAAATTGCCACCAAGCTCCACCAGCAGCCCCCATAAATACACTGTGACATCAAAGCCACCATCATTTCTTCTGGACTCCACAGAACAGAAGCACTGGGCTTTTGCCCTAACCCAATTTGTGTTCTGTACTACTATTACTCATCAAAGAGATGCCCAGAACCATGATAGAAATTAAAGTGATACTGATCTAATTCATTTAAGGCAAAAATATGCTTGAACATCTCCCCACAGAGCAAACAGAGCTCGGTGCTGTGGGCAACCAGAAATGAATGAATCCTGGCTCCAGCCCTTGGGGTGAAAGGGCCATGTCTCCAAGTAGCTGTAGCTTCTGTAGTGAATGTTGTAATTTGGATGTCAACAAAGCACTAAAAGGAAGTAGGGAAGCATGAGAACTTCCAGGCCTCTCGGTGGCCCGGGGCCAGACCAGCTGGGACAGCCGCCAACCTGGGTGGTGTCCAGATTTGGCCTCGACAGGAAAGAACTCAGGTGTCATGTTCTCCAGGACACTTGAGCAGGAAGAGCCAGAGAAGCCAGTAGGAGCCAAAGTTCCTGTCCTTTTCTCCACCCCAGCACTGCTGACATAGAGAACAAGCTCATCCTTTGTGGTGGCCTGTGCCTCATAGGGGGTTAGCAGTGCCCTGACCTCTGTCCGCTAGGTGCTGGCAGGATCCCCCACCCTATAGTTGTACAATCAGGAATGTTGAGTTTGCCAATGTCCCCAAGGTTGGGATGAGGCAGATTGCCCCGGGGTGAACCTCTGATCTAATCCAGTGGTTTTCTACCCTGGCTGCCCTTTTAAACATCTGGAGAGCTTTGGATTAAGCATTGGTTCCTGACTACCCAAGACCCATTAATCAAAATGTTCAGGCATGGACTGGGCATTGGTGTTTTGCTTTTGCTTTTAAAAGCTTCCTAAGTGGTTTTTGTTTATTTGTGTTTTTTTGGGTTTTGAGTTAGGATCTCTGTATGTAACCCAGGCTGGCCTGGAACTTGCTACTTAGCCTAAGCTTGCCTTGAACTCATGATCCTCCTACCTCAGCCTCCCGAGTGTTTGGATTGTAGGCATGTGCCGCCTTGTCTGGCGCTTCCTAGGTGATTTTAAATTATGGTCAGGTCTGAATTTTCATCCTCAGGGCAGAAGATGCCTGCATGTAGGAGATAATAAATAATATAATTGAGCCTTTACTGTGCTAAGCACGTTTATGAATGTCATTTAATTTTCCCAACAGCTCTTAGATACGGGTAATAACACTGAGAGGCTAGTAGACAGCCTAATAGCCTGAGAGGCCAGTAGAGTGGGAAGTAGACAGGAAATGAGGGGAGTCTTAGGCAGATGTGCTGATTACTAGGGGCAGAAGCATGCTGATTGAAGGAAGGTGAATCTTGAGAGAGAGACTCTGTCAAGGTCTTGGGGTTTGTTTTTTTTTGACATCTGAACTTAGGCCTCAAATGCTACTGCTTGAGCCATGCCCCCAGCCTGCTGTCAAGGTTTCTTAAAGGAAGCAATATAAAAACTAGTACTTTAGGCAGTATTGGGCTGGGATGGAGCTCCTGAGATCTGGGGACAGACAAGCCAGTGTTCAGATCTCCGTCTCATCACTTACTGATCATACGACCTCGGGTAAGTGTCTCATCCATTTATTACTGGGTAACAAATTGTACCAAAGCTTAGTGGCTTAAGACGTTAAGTATTTATTATGCTGCAGCTTCTGTGGGCCAGGAATTTGTTAGCAGGGAAGTTCACCGGAAGGTTCAGAGGTTGAGGTCAACCTATGAACTTGAGGTCAAGGTGTTACAGGAGCTGCTGGATAGGGGTGGGATTCTGCTTTCAAGATGCTGCATGCACCAGAGGCTGGTTGCCATCTGGGACCTCATTTTTTTCCCCATACGAGACTTTCCATGGACTGCTTGAGTGTCTTCATGACATGGAGATCTTTAGAGTGGAAGACTCAAACACGAGGAGGAAGCCACAGTGACTTTTATGACCCAGACTTGGAAGTCAACTTCCATCTTCACCATGGCTTACGGAAGCAAGTTGCTAAGTACAGATTCAAAGGGAGAATAATTAGGCCCCACCTTACGAAGGAAAGGGTATCAAAGAATGTGTGG